CTATATCTATATATATATATATATGTGTGTGTGTGTGTGTGTCTATGTATATCTATGTATATCTATGTGTACATACATATATATATATATATATGGGTGAGTAGCTGGGTATAATCTACGTGGGGGGGTGTATTTAAATACTTATTTGTGTGTGTGGGTATGTATCTATATATAGTTGGGTGTATACATTTATACCTAACCTATATCTGTACCTATTATGAATATGCGTTGACATATATATATATATATATATGTATATATATATACAGTTAGATAGATAGATAGATAGACAAATAATAGTGTATACATTATGGTGTGTAAAATGTATATTCCAATATATTTGTGCCTATTGATGTTTGTCAGTATGTATGCATATATTCTGTGTTCATATTGCAAATGATGTCTGTTCACTACGCATACGGTCTGATCAATTAAATGGCTATAGTGGATGTTCACTGTTTATTGTTATTGTGCTGGTTGCAGCAATCACCTTGGCGGCCCATGAATGCATGACTCCACTACCTACTGGCTCTGTTTGAGATTCGGCCCTAATTTTTGTTTGGGATTTGTCCCTAATATGCCCCGACTCATTTCTCACCACCTTTTCCAAATAACCTCGCAGACAAGGCATCATACGATAGAAGGAGCTCGATGACTTATGAGAGGTGAGGGAGAGACTGTGCTGTCTTGTGCGTCTGCCTACGTTTGTTGTTTGACCTAAGTATCTATACAAGTACAAAGCACAGATTATACTCTGTGCATTGTCTTGACTCTCATCTTACTGACTGATCCTGTCAGTCACCGTTTGCCGTCGGGTGTTTAGTATAGTATCATATTCGTGGATGCTTTGGCAAGCGCTTGCTCAGGCAGATGTACTCCTCCACACCGATACGAATACACCTGCTTACTATATATCGGAGTCCTAGCATACATACCTGTGTGTACGTATAATATAACTAGTCTATAGGCGACGGTCTGTGCATGCGTGCTTTACGTCACGCTCTCTCTCACAAGCTACGCACACGCCCACAGAAACCCACTCACACCCATACCCACACCCACACGTACACCCACACCCACGCTAAAGCTCACGCACGCGCTATTCAGACGATCCGATTTCGATGGGTCGGGAGACAGTGAGAGCGGAGGTAAGATCAGAGGACAGGCGCCGTCCAACAGAGCACGCGATAGTTTTTCCCGCGACAACCGAGGTCCACAGCATGGGGGAGGCGGTGGTTACTATGGCAACAACCAGACTGGGTTCCATCGAGGGTTTGCACCCGTAATCCCCATGGGTGGCCCTCGCGGGGGTAAGTTTGTGGGCCCATATGGACCCATGCATGCTCCCGTGGGAGGTGCGTATAACAGGCAGATTTCCGCGTCACACCAGGTATGTCGCACAGCGTACGGGCTGGTTTTATTGCCTTGACAACCGTGTTGTTTATGTTTATTGCTGTTGTATATGTGTATGTGTACGCGTATGTATATGTATGTGCACGTATATGTGTATGTGCACGTATATGTGTATGTGTACGTTTATGTATATGTATGTGTATATGTCTATGTCTATGTCTATATATTTTATATATATATAAGTGGGTGTGTGTGTGTGTGTGTATGTATATATGTATATGCATATGCATATATGTGTATATGTATGTGTGTCTGTATGTATGTTTCTATCTATCTATCTATATATATATATATATATACTTATGCTACTTCCTAAGGTTAAATTTAATTTCTAACTACACTCCGCTCAGCCACCGAGTTGATCAAAACTCACTTCCTGAAGTAGTCCACTATTCAGGGCCGCTGAATAGTAATACGTACTTATTTCCCGTCGAATATACACACGCCCACAGAGACAGTTCCCGCCGTCTCATGGGTTTGCTCCCCATCATCAACGCGCTCACCACCCCATGGCACACTACGGCCACCAACAACACTCCCGGTAGGTGCAACCCTTGAAGTGTTAACGTACAACACTCCAGCTGTGAATATACCGCTGTTTGGGCTTGTAGTGCTGTGGGTGGGTGGGTGCCGTTGTATACGTGTATATATATGCTGGGGGTAAGTTGCATATGGCCGTTGTATACGTGTATATATAAATATATGTATGTATACGTGTATATATATATGCTGAGGATAGGTTGCCTATGAGCCATGGCTACAACCAATGTCACATGCGCTCGTGAGACTGGGCCACTGCAATACAGACACAACGCTCTAGTCGTATGTACACGGGCTGTGTGCATACACGCATCATCATCCTCCCAAGTAAGAGTGGCTAGTGCTTGTTCTTAGACACGCCACTCCGGAATACGTTCACCGGGTTCTCTGGGGTGACGTTTGCGAGACAGTTGTCGATGGATGAAGAGATATGGGCTCCTGTCTGTTCTTGCCCCTATGCGTACGCTATGGGTGTGGAATAGACGCTACTGGGTGCAGTACTAGCTCGTAATGAATGACCATCACAGCGACGCATGTATATATGTACATATTGTTGCATTTTTACAAACAATTACAGTCATATACATAAACGAATACAGCCATATATATTTTTATATACAATATATACATGTTCATATATATATGTGTGTGTGTGTGTGTGTGTGTCATTTTCTATTTCGATATCTATATTTATATAGTGTGTCTTTGTGCGTGTGTGTGTGTATGTTTCTTTTTATGATATATATATATATATGTATATTATAAACACGCAAAACCTGATATACACAATAATAGCAATCACAACTTACACCCGCCGTATTGCCAGAGTGTGACCTATGCACACCTCATCAAATACCAGATACATTTCCAAGTCACCTACCCCATACTCTACCCATACCATCGCTCACCCTGAGATAGATTCCGAATATATACACAAGCACTGTCCTTTACATCGGTATACTCATACGCTCCCACCTCTCTCGCAGAAACCAGAACAACAAGGATGCAGACAACGGCGGGCCATTGCAGAGTCGCCAGTCAGGCGACGGCCTAGGCAACATGCGCGACGGACAGGTACGCATGGCCAAGCATCTGATGGTGTATTATATGCATCACATAATACTGTATGATACTGTAATATCACATACTACTGTAATTATACTGTAATATCACGTAATACTGTAATCATACTGTGATACCTCATAATACTGTAATTAACTGTAATATCACGTAATACTGTAATTATGCTGTAATACCACGTAATACTTTGTATTGCATCGTAGTCAGTATTAAGTATTTAGTTAAAACTCACGCCCTGGCAGAGGTCCCACTGGTATGCAGGGTGATCTCAGCCTTACTTTGTTGGAGGAATCCTCGGGCACAGTGGTGCTCACAGACTGTAGTGTCTTCACTTCGATGTATCGACCTTTCATGTTCGTCTAGTATCGTCTATCGCCAAGGCCAGATCTTGGCGCATGTGTGGCTATGTGTGTGAGTGTGTCAGTTGCCTGTGTTTTAGTTGGTGTGTGCCTGTGTATTAGTTGGTGTGTGCTTGTGTATCAGTTGGTGTGTGCCTGTGTATTAGTTGGTGTGTGCCTGTGTTTTAGTTGGTTTGTGCCTGTGTATTAGTTGGTGTGTGCCTATGTATTAGTTGGTGTATGTCTGTGTATTAGTTGGTGTGTGCCTGTGTATTAGTTGGTGTGTGCCTGTGTATTAGTTGGTGTGTGCCTGTGTATTAGTTGGTATGTGCCTGTGTATCAGTTGGTGTGTGCCTGTGTTTTAGTTGGTGTGTGCCTGTGTATTAGTTGGTGTGTGCTTGTGTATCAGTTGGTGTGTGCCTGTGTATTAGTTGTTGTGTGTCTGTGTATTAGTTGTTGTGTGTCTGTGTATTAGTTGTTGTGTGTCTGTGTATTAGTTGGTGTGTGCCTGTGTATTAGTTGGTGTGTGCTTGTGTATCAGTTGGTGTGTGCCTGTGTATTAGTTGGTGTGTGCCTGTGTTTTAGTTGGTTTGTGCCTGTGTATTAGTTGGTGTGTGCCTGTGTATTAGTTGGTGTATGTCTGTGTATTAGTTGGTGTGTGCCTGTGTATACGTGGGTGTGTGTGGGCTGAGTCGGGTGTGTGCCTGTGTCCCGTTGCTTGAGTAGGTGTAGGGGGAGTGTTGTGGGGTGTGTGTACATCTTCCCACATAGAGCACCTCCCTGCTATGGACACTCGCGCGAGTGTTCCAACAGTAGGGCGTCCTGTACACGTGTATATCTCCGTGGAGGTTAGTTGTAGTTTACGCCCATGAACTTATGATGTATTTTTAGTATTATTAATTTGTTTTGTGGTGTATTATTGTATATTTTAACTTGTGATGCATCTACGTTTATTTTGTACTGTAGAGGGATACAGGGTTTGGTGGAGACCGCCGAGATTCGAATATGAACTCCGAAAGCCGGGATGGTTTCCATGGCAACAACAGTGAAGGTAAAGGTAGTGGCGGTACAAACAACCCGGGGTCGAGTCCAGGCAAGGGGGCACACAGTGGTAGTAATAATAACGGTGGTGCGGCGGGAGGTAGTGATAAGAAAGACGGCGGGGGTGGTTCCGGGGGGACTGGGTCGGCGAGTGGGTATGGATTAGACAGGCGAGACAGTGCGCCTTATGCGAGTGCCAAGGATAGCTCCGGTACTAGTGGGACGGGCAAAGGCACGGGCGGGGCCTTGGACCGCAGGGATACGTACGGTGGGATGAGTGGGGCGATGGACAGGCGGGAGCTATTCAGCAGCAACAGCACGGGAAATAATGGGCCTATGATGGATAGCAATAGCAGCACTAGTAGTATGAACATGCACGGGGGGGTGAATCAGGCGGATCACCAGGCGCAAGACGCACTTACGACGCAGCAACAAATGCAACAGCAACAGCACCAGCACCAAAATCCCGGGGCAGGTGTATACGGCGGTCCTATGAATTCGGGGCAAGGTGCAATGGGCCGACAACAGTCACAGCACAGCCGGGGTATGGGGATGGTCCGGGGCGGAGTAGGTATGGGAGTAGGATCTATAAATAGCTACAATGCCATGGGTGGAGATCCGTCAATGCAACAGCTACAGTACACCAACTCACAGGTGAGTGAATATAGCCGTAAGTGGTTTCAATTCTTACGTACCTGGGTAGGCTCTCGTATGTGGTGGTGGCTATGCATTCTTACTCTTTAGTTATGGACTCTCGATCGGTTTTCAGGTGACAGGTATTACGAAGATACGTTGCGTCGTGTATTGCTTGGCATGTATATACAATAGATGATATAATACATGATATTATACACTATATTGTACATGATATAATACAATGATATAACACATGATATTATACATTATATTATACATGATTTAATACATTATATATTATACATTATATTATACATGATAATATACATTCTATTATACGATATTATACATTATATTACACATGATATAATACACGATATAATACATGATATTATCCATGATATAATACTTGATATTATACACGATATATTGCATGATATAATACATGGAATAATACATGATATAGTACATGTTTTAGTACATGGTACTATACATGATATATTACATGATACTATACGTGTTATAATACATGATGTAAAACATGATATAATACAAGGATATAATACATGATATAGTACATGATATAATTCATGATATAGTACACGATATACTACATGATACTATACATGATATATTACATGATGTAATACATGATATACTACATGATATAATATATGCTATACTACATGATATACTACATGATATAGTACATGGTATCATACATGATATAATACATAATATAATACATGGTATATTACATGATATAATACATGTAACGTGCCTGTGGGTGTTGTATTTGTAGATCATGCTTGTGCATAACATTTTACAATATAAGTATACGTACCTGTGTGTCTTGTCATGCATGTGTATAGCATTTCACAGTGCACGTATCCGTACCTGTATGTATTTGTATCTGTGTAGCATGTACGTGCTGTACCTTTGACATTACATCTATTTATGGCCGTGGATTTGTTTCAGCAGTTACCCGTGTGCTGTCGGTGTTGGCTGCATATCTCGCCACTTCCACACGCACACACCTTCGCGTGATTGATATAATATGCACAAAACCCTAAACCCTAAACAACTGTCTTTGCCCCCTGCACCAGCCCAATATAACGGGGCCGGGAGGTGCAATGCCCAATTCCCACCTGATGGGTGCACATCGTGGCCAGCAACCGTTGGTCTATCAGACCTCTGGGCCTATGCGCGGCTCAGTGCATGACTCACCCAACCGAAACGGCATGGCTGGAATGGGCCGAGGCCCCGGTGGCAAGCGACCGTCCCAGGGACCAGGTAGGAGAGAGTCTGCAAGGGCTTGCTTAGAGGGTGCTGCATGAGTTTGCTTGTAACGTTGGGGTTATGGTTGGGTGAGTGAGAGGGGTGGGGATAGGGAGAGAGTGTGTGTGTGCGCGTGTGTGTGTCTGTGTCTGTATATGTGTCTGTGTCTGTGGGTGTGGTTGGGCGGGTGGTTGGGTGAGTGGGTGTGTGTGTACGTGTGTGCTTTATTGACATGTACCGTTTGCAGTGTGTGTATGCAGCCACTGGCAGGTGTGTGGTTGGGTGAGTGTGTGTGTGTGTATATACGTATGCGCTGTATTGACATGTACCGTTTTCAGTGTGTAAATGCAGCCACTGGTAGGTGTGTGGTTGGTAGTGTGCGTGGTCCGTCTCATTCGAATGCCTCGTTCTATACGCATTCAAGCGTAACCATCAGTACCTTATCGGATGAATGGCTGTTGAAATGGGACCCTTCTATTTGTTTGTATTTCTTCGAGTGCACCTACATGCCCTATCACGTAACAGAGATATTCTCGCTTCACACAGTGAGAGATGTCTCCGTGTGCTGTGACGAGCATTCGTACGGTCTATTCTGAGCTTTCATGCTTACTCACCCTGTAAGCGATCTATCCACACCCGCACCCGCGTGTTACCCGATAAGTCCTTATCGCTCCCTTCCCACGCTTTCTTCTTTTATCTCAGGGCAAGGCACTACCCCCGCCATGATCGCTCAAGAGCAGCAGAGGTTACGGCTGGAGGAAGAGATCCAGGCCAGCGGAGCAGCCGACCACTTGGCCGACTGGGGTACCGAAGAGCTGGAGAAGAAGGTAGGTGGATTACATCACAATAGATACATAGGGATGACTATAGTTACATTGTGCTATGCGGGTGATATGTATATGTATTGTGTACCGAAGAGCTGGAGAAGAAGGTACAGGGATTATGTCACTATAGATACGTAGGGATGACTATAGTTACATTGTGCTATGCGGGTGATATGTATTATGCACTGAAGAGTTAGAGAAGAAGGCATAGAGATTACTATAGTTTTATAGGGAGTATTATAGCTACATTGTGCTATGCTATTGATTTATAATACGTTACCTACTTATCAGATCATTCTGGCCGATTATAGTACCCAAGTCTTAGATATTATTCCTGTGCTTTTGACAGGATTCTTGGCGAAGAAACTAGTGTAGTGACATCGTGCCATGCTAGTGACATGTACTGTGTCGCCTACGTCTTATTTCACGGACTAACTTGCACGTATTCTTAATTCACGTACTACCTTGCACATATTCTTAATTCACGTACTAATCTACACATAGATAGTGGGATCGATCTGTCCAAGTGCGTTTGTGTATCAAAACTTTAATCTCATCGTTGGGTATGATTTAAAAGCCTGTGTATGTATACCTCAGTTGTGTACACCCGCAGGCCCATACCACTCATCCACCTCAACGCGTTCAACGTATTCCCAGAGTGAGGAGTGCCGTATGCAGTACAGACAAACGTTTACCAAGGAACGGGAATTAACGGGCAAACTACATAAGGCATCAGAGAATTACTACGCCGCGCGGCTGGTATCGGATTGCTGTGATATGTAAGTGACGTGAGATGCTCTGCCACGTGTGCACTCAGGGTGAGCCTATCTGACAGTTGTAGTTGTAGTCCACTCGCAAATGCTCTGTCACGTGTGCACTCAGTGTGAGCGTATCTGACAGTTGTAGTTGTAGTCCACTCGCAGATGCTCTGCCACGTGTGCACTCAGTGTGAGCGTATCTGACAGTTTAGTTGTAGTCCACTCGCACGAGCATTCCCAGCGCTTGCGATTATATTAGACGAGGTTACCTACTACGGGTGGTTGATTTGTATCTTTTCACTGTTTCATATCAGCCTGTCTCATACTTGGTTATACGGTGTGTGGGTCTATCTAGTATACGCCTGCAAGTCCTGTCAGAGTATTTGGCACTAGAATGTGTGGTGTCAGATTCTGTTGTAGCATCTCCACGTGCATGCTTAACGAAGTGGTCGACACAAGCCTCCTGTGCTCAGATAGACGCATGTGCGCAGTTTCTGTTCTCGCATGAAATCCCGCCACACAAACACAAGTAATAT